CATATATATATATATTCTGTTTACAGAAGAAATTTTATGTTATATCAAAACCGATAACGTACTTGTATAGCACGCCAAACATGATCAATGCCCAATTTCACGTAATCGTGGATATTTGATTATCAATGTTTATTATGGTTAATACCGATACATTTCTTGTTTTTGTATCAAACCTATATATTTTATTATATTTCGCATGTTTATAAGTGAAGTGCAGCAGTAATATCAAACTCATAAATATGTATTCTGCCAAAGTAATCTTTCCTATGAGATTCTGTTATAGACAAAGATATGCAATAATAATAATAAAAAAATCTTAATAGTAAAACTATTATACACTTTATTATTATTTTATTTTGCTTATTGCCTATTCTTTAAAAAAATATGAAGGGAAGGAATATGACATTTTATCACATAATGTACTCTGTTATCCAGTAAACATACCCATGTTACATTTGTTTGCGTATTAACCCATGTAATATGACCTATCAGCCCTGTGATTGGTTGCAAGTTTTAATTGTTTCAATTGTGACCTCATGTCTAGGACAAGTACATGACGTCACAGACTTACGCACTGGAGTCAAAATGGCGGCTTTTTACATTTAAGGTTGCATGAGAATTGCCGTTTTACACGAATAGATGCAACAAATCGTGTTTATGTGATAAAAAGGATCTCACACTCGTTTTCACTTCATATGAAATTTATGAAACTCGTCACTTATTTTTCATTTTAGCTCGTCAGAGACTCGTTTCATAAATCTCATATGAAATGGAAACTCGTGTAAGATCAAGCCAAGAGAGTAAGGAAGATATCCCTGTCCGAATACCCATACACAACTTTTATTTAGCATATTTGATTTTTGTGAACGAAAGTCAAGGTCACCAACGTTTACAAAACTTCTATCCATTCACATGAACAACCTACTTGTCAAATATCAACACCCAATGACCTTTGGTTATAAAGAAGCACAAGTTAAAGGAAAAGTGGAAAGAAAGCTATGTTTTTCCTTTTTAAATCAAAAGTGTTATTTGACAAAGAATGAGTGTCTATATTCGGATTTTCACCTCCTTAATCTGTTCAAAGATGTGCTATTGTATTACACGAGGAAAAAAGGTAAGAGTTTGACCGAAAGTGGGTTTTTGAGGGTTACAAAAGGGGTAGCGTAAATCACAAATATAATTTGCTGTTTTCAAAAAAGCGTATAAACCAAAATAATACCATTTCTGGTTTTGGAAACATGTGTAAATTGAGGAGATGCACTTAAGTCCTTGTACTCCAAAACACAAGAAAAAGTGTTTTTGAAGTAAAAAAGCATTGTGGGATTAATATGAAACTTTCACAAATAAATATCATCATCTAACTAATATCTATGCCAAGTTGCATGCTTACCCCAAAATGCCTTTTATGTATAATCGGCCATTACTATTGGAAATAGGCAGAACAATTGATAAAACAATGAAATGGGTTAACTGTAACGATTAAAACATACGGTGGTCGGGAAGTGCAGTGGATACCGCACTTGTCCTTCACCAGAGCGGCCGGGGTTCGATTCCCCGATCGGACGTGAAAAGGTATGGGGTCAGCTATGGGTTTCCTCCTACACTTAGACTATATTAATACGGGCCAACAAGAGTGATTAATAGAAGTTAACATAACTTGTTTCATAATTGTTGTAAAATAAATAAAGTTTATATTTATATTATATTAAAATCAGGACCTGGAACCCACTTCAGCCACAGTTATTGAGCAAATATTATATGATATATATATAAAATATACAATATTAACAATTCATATCTTATACTTATAGCATATAAAGGGTGTCCTGCATCTTATAATTCACTTAAGATTGAGAGATATTTGAAATAGTCGAGTTTGAGATGTGCCCAGAAGCCATAACTCGGTACAAAACAAAAGGAAAGTGCGTAGTGAGTGTGCATTTTATGTAAGTGTACTCAAATGAGTAAACTTGTAAATTTCAACTCAAATTATAAATAAGAAAGACAATTATTGAGAAAACCAAACACTTTTCATTTAGAAATTACCTAAAACAACCCCCTGACTTAATCCTCCATTTTATATAAACAATCTTTAAGTGACGATTGGATTTCTGTCATTTTTCATTCTTTTATATATGCCTGTTTAATTTACACGTTTCCAAAAACCGGAATGGTATTAGTTTGGTTTTTAAGCTCATTGTTTAACATCACAAAGTACCAAAATAGAGAATTTTACAAGGTGGATCTTTGTCCGCAACATGTACCTTATTGTCATACATGAATTATTGAATGAAATAGAAACATGTGGAAAAGTCTACAAAAATGGTTGATAAATTGCGAAAGCTACAGTAAGAAGACGAGATTCACTTTCTCGTCTACAAAAAGTAAAAATTGTATTATTTTCAGACAAGCGTACATTACATAATATACAAAATGTCTACCTATACAAACGCGTACTGACAGTTGTTGAAGAAATTTAACATGTTGGAATATTGTTAAATGGCATTATGTCAAATCTGAAGATAATTTGCTGTGAAAATTGTGTATTCAATACAATACAAATATGAATAATGCTGATTATTCCGATCAGGTATAGTCTTACTGTTTTTCACATGCATGAAATAATGCTGAATCTTTCCATGTGTAATATACCTGTGTGAAATAATGCTAAGTATGTCCTTGTATAATCCTACTGTTTCACATGTATGAAATAATGATGTGTAATCTTACTGTTTCACATGTAAGAAAATAATGCCGAATCTGTTCATGTATAATCTTACTGTTTCACATGTAAGAAAATAATGCCGAATCTGTTCATGTATAATCTTACTGTTTCACATGTAAGAAATGTTGCTGAATATGTCCTTGTGTTGGTTATAATGATACTTTGTAACAATACATCTGATATATATGTACATCAATAATACTGAATCTGACCATGAAATAATGCTGAATCTGTCCATGTGTAATCTACTCTCTCTGTCATGTTTTATTTGATTGATGGTATTTTGTTTGACCTCTTTGTACACACTTTGTGTGTCAGAGCGTAATAAACAAATCTTGAAACAATCTTGAATCTTGAAGAAATTCAATTGAAAGAATTCTTGTACTATGTCACTGAGGTCCGGTGCTCACCGTGCACATCCTCTATACCCAGGGGTTACGCTCACTTTCGCTCTCTGCACCCCTGGGATATGTCATAGCAAAATTGAAAGCTCCGCGTGTACTTCCTTGTTGATGGGACAAGCACACTAGTTCGATCCTTTGAGGTACATCAAAAGAATATCGCGGTCGCGTAACGGTAAAAAAAATGACAAGCTTTGAAGTCGAGTGTCGCTCCTTTGTAATCTTCAAAGGACATGTATCAGCGTAGCGATTGGTCAGGTTTTTTTACCCGAGACCAATTAAACAGCTATCTTCGTGCCTTCAATTTTGTTATGACATATTCCAGGGGTGCAGAGAGCGAAAGTGAGCGAAACCCCTGGATATCGAGGGTGATCCGTGCGCGCTCAATCCTCTCACTGTTGCTAAGGTGATCAATATTAGAGCGTACCCGTCTGTCTTATATGGATGTGAACTTTAAATGCGTTCTCAAACGGAAGTATTAATGTTGGAAAGAGCACAGAACTATATTTGTAAAATGTGTACAAGGGTTTGAAAAAAGAACCAGTACCGTCGCTAATGTTAAATCTCCATAGACGTTGACCCTACCTGTAGATTCATATTCAGATCAGTTTAATCCTTGTGTAGGACACATCGGAGAGTAGAGTTAAATGACATACAAATAGTACAGTATGTTACTTTACAATGATAGTCGAATGGCAGAAGTGATAACAATACATTTTATTACAATTAAATATACATTTATCGTGCAGTATAGAATAATATGGTGTGATCACGGAATCTAATTCCGTGGTGTGATTCATAGTTTCCATTAGCTGCGATAACGTAGCTCTGGACGACGGACGGACGGTTTCTGATAGATGGTCGTTGCCTGCCGGTTTGTTCTAAGTTATCCAAGAATTACGCAGTGCTTTTGATGCATCTTCAACATGTTATTTGTACAAGCTTCTTGTGATACCTTTTGCGTCCAGTTCTATCTGACTAAGCCCATTAACATAAGGATAAAAAGGTTATTGAGTCAATTTCGCATGCAAGCACACAGTCTTAACATAGAATCTGGGCGCTATAATAACATTCCAAGAGGTCAGAGAATTTGTACAGTCTGCGATAAAAATGATATCGAAGATGAAGTACATTTTGTACTACTTTGTCCTGCATATTCTGATTTAAGAAAAACATACATCAAACAGTATTATTATCGACATCCAAGTGTCTATAAACTAATAAAATTATTTACCTGTAAAAGTGTTAAATCTTTAAATAGACTGGGTAAATATTTGTGGCACGCTACTTCTAAAAGGAAAATTCTCCTCGCTCAGTAGTGATATTATATGAAAGCATTATTTGAAACTACTTTGTTATAAGTGTACATGTATAATAATAGTTATTTAAGATTCGTAAATAGCGCGTCAAATAGTACTTAAAAAGTTGACGGACGACACTGGACGACGGACGGGTTATAAGTGTAACATGTATAATAATAGTTATTTAAGATTCGTTAATAGCGCGTTAAATAGTACTTTAATGACATCCCATGGTTCTTTCTGGAAGTTATATGTAGTGTTTTCATTATGATGTCATCGTTTCATGTCGTCACATATATATACAGGTAGTAAAGTCACATATATGATTATATTGTTATATACTTCTCGCAACTTTACGAAAAAGCATACTGTAAAACTGCAAGTGTTTGTAACATATATGCTGTATTGCATTTGGGTATAATAAAACTTGAAAAACTTGAAAACATAAGTATGGTGGAAATGGACACTCTTAGTGTGACCTATATAGCTACGGTTTGTTCGTTTACTACCCGGGGACAGGTACAGGTAAGGAGACACGCTTCACCAGACAGGTGTACAGAACGTGCCGCAAGGTGGTAAACACCAGCTTCAGGCTGTATGTCCGGAATATATATCTGACAAGGGGTGTTAACACATAGTAGCTATAACGTGATCCAATATCGTCCAGCAGAAAGCAGAGACGTATTCGTCCTCCCTGTACACCCATGCACGGAGAAACACAATAATTAATCTGGATACCTGTGACGTGATTACATCAGGCACCTCTTTTGTTCCGTTTGGTGGTATTTTAAATCTCACAGGTGAAAGCGTAAGACAGTCTGGCACATGTGCTTAAGGATCAAGTCTGTTTATGGGGAAATTCCCCTAAAGTGGACAAACGGGTAAGTGTTGGACGCTGGACTCTGTATACACCCAGTTTGTATTGATAACCAGTACGTTATTTTGATGAGATGGACACATGTTCTTGTGCTGTAAACTGAACAACCAAGAGACATTACGGAGCTACTTCATTTCAAAATCTCTCTTTTTGTTATTTTTCAGAATGTGACAGCCCGTGGTTTGGTGAAATTGTTTGCCGACATAAAACGTTGATCTGGCCTGTTGATACCAAAAAGTGTACGGGACACCAGACGAGGAAACTATTGACTGTGAAACTCCCAACAAACCAGACGCGATCACAACACCACAGGTATTTAAAGTTATATTTTATCGCTCGAATGGATATGATATTTTAGACAAAGCATTTTGAGGGGAGTAGTAATTTAATTTATTATTATTTATTAGTGATTTAATAATGAGTTAAGACGAACGCGGATCGACTCTAGGGCCCGCTCCACGATTAGCGAGAGTTCACCAGTAGCTATATGGGGAGCTTAAATACGAAATCAGCAATATTCAGAGTCTTTAATATTTCCCTGCTACATATTTTTGTTGAGACGGATCAGATTGGTGTATTTTGAGGCTTTATTCTGCTTTGAACGACCTCATTTTAGCAGTCAAAGTGTTTTCACTGAGCGCTGCGACCATTACAAATGGTCGACTGTTTAGTAACCAAGGCGAAATGATCGTAAGACTCCGTATATATAGGATAAAAAGATTAAATGTCCATGCGAAGTTTGTAAGTATAGAAAACGACTGACTAAAAATCAAGCTGCGTTCACCTTTATTAAACAGCCCTTTTCAGCCCGAAGAGCCCCGAGCGTTAGATTTTATTTTTTCTATAAATATGTATAAATAATGTGTTGTATGTTCGCATTTCTATGGTATTCAATAGTGTTGCTATTTAGAGCTAGTAAACAGATGTACACTAGTCGAGCCTCCCGGGCATTTCTCGTCTGTCCACGCTAATCTTCACACAACTATTCGTATCGACCCAGCTTACAAAGCAAATGTTTCTGGGAGTATGCCCGGATAAATTAAGTTTTTTACTAGAACATGTTTTTCATTTTCTTTTTTTCCCACTGTACAATAGTCCGCGTGCACAGGGACCTGATAATTTGTCACAGCTATATTTGGACCTAAACTAAGGTGTTCAGAGTAATTTAACTTTCGGTAAAAAATACATACTCATTGGGGGTGTAATTATTTTACCGAAAGTCGATCCAAACTACTAAAACATGTAAAATGACTCTGAACACCTCAGTTTAGGTCCAAATATATCTGTAAAGAAATTCTCAGGTCCCTGTGGCCGCGTGGACTGCTATAGCATTGATACGGATAGCTATGTGAATTTCGAGGATATATCTTGATAATACAAAATTGATAATATTTCTGAGTACATGTAATAAATTTTAAATAAAGAATTAATTCTACAGTATATAAATGGTGACGTACACGTTTTAAGTTAAAGTTGTTAATTGAGTCTCGTCAATTATAAAATCGATGTACAAATACAACTTTACAATATAATTAAAACATTATTCAATAAAGAAGCCGGTGTATCATGATATATATATATTGTGGATGATATGATGATGATGATGATAATGAAATCATGTAAAGGATGATGACAGTGTTATTTTAAAACGTGTAGTTCAAGTTTTTTTTATTTCCGAATGCAAATCAGCATATAGGTTAATTGATACATAGAATACAAAACATATTTCAAATTTTCAAGATGGCGGAGGACAATTCCATATAAGCAATTATCACATAAAAAGAATACATAATTTAGCAATATTACTGCACGAGGGTTTTTCTTTTGGCGGTAGCATATTTTAAATATAGACCCAATCTACGTTATGTTTTAATACTTTTACATGACAATAATTCAATTAATTTATACACACTGGGGCATCGGAAGTAATAGTGCTTAATGTATGTGTTTCTCTATACAGAGTAAGCAGGACAAATAAGAATAAAATGTATCTCATCTTCTAAATCATTTTTGTCACAGGCAAAACATAATCTTTGACCTCTCGGAACCCCATTATAACGTCCAGATTCGTTATTAAGGGAATGCGCCTGCATGCGATATTGACTTAACATTTTTTTGGTATTAAATGTTAAAGGCTTTACTAAATAGAATTGCATATTAAAAGTATCGACAAGATGTCTATATAAATAACATTTAGAAGATGTTTCAAACGCACCACGTAATTCCTGAATAAATACGTCATGCAGACGTTGGGTATACATTTCCACAAATTGTTTTTCATTTGGAACATATTGAACATCCCAAATATGATTAAAACCCATTCTATATAAATCATTTTTAACATGATAAACCCAGTTAAGTTTACAATTCGGCTTTTTGACATTAAGCTCAAGTAGTGCATCATAGCATGCTTTTAGTACACAGTTATTTGTATTCAAAATATTTAACCAGTATTTAATTATAGCTACTTTGCGCTTTATATGTAAGGAATAACTTCCTGTCTCAAAGTAAACCATAGAACTATTGACGGTTTTCTTAACGTTTAATAAATCTTTAAGAAAGAGAAGATGGACTTTTTCGATTTGCGGCGATAAACAATTACCCCATACCTCACATCCATAGTTCAGTATGCATGTCACATATGTATCAAACAAAGATAATTTAGTTTCAGTATTAAGGATAAAATCTTTCATTCTTCTTTTTAAAAGATAAAAAGCATTCCTGCCTTGAGATGCCAACGTGTTTTGTGCTACGGTGAATCTTCCATTATAATAAAAAACTAATCCTAGATAACAAAATTTGTCCACTATCTCAATTGACTTGCCATTAAACGTCCAGTTTTCAGTAGGTAAGATTCTTTTACTTTTTCTAAAAATTACAATTTTAGTTTTATCATAATTAACAGTTAAATTCCATTTATCAGTGTAACATTGCAGACAATCTAGCATGTGCTGAAGATTGTTAACATCTTCCGAAAACAAAACTGTGTCATCGGCATACATTAACATAAACAGATTAATCAATTGTAGTTCATAACCTTGACAATTGGAATTTAAAAACTCACTCTCCATATCATTAACGAATAATGAAAAAAGCATGGGCGATAACGATTCCCCTTGTAATAAACCGACATGTAAATCGAACATAGTAGACAATTTACCATTTAAATTTATGCAAGAACGAACATTATCATAAATAGATCTAATTACATTTAGCAGTCTGCCACTAACACCACTTTTCCAAAGTTTATACCAAAGTTTATCATGTGTTACACTATCAAAAGCTTTGCTGTAATCTACAAATACGCAATACAGCCTTTTGTTTTGTTCTAATGTATTTATTATTAAACTATGTAATGTAAAAATAGCATCCCTGGTACCAAACCCAGGTTTAAAACCAAATTGGACATCGGTAACAATATCCTCTCTTGTACTCCATTTTAATAATCTTTTATTTAACAAGGAAGTAAATAACTTAGCTAGATGACTAATTAATGTTATTCCCCTGTAATTATTCACATTGTTTTTATCCCCCTTTTTATGAAGAGGTATAATAACACCCTGCGCCCAGGACTCTGGAAAATATCCTACATGTAACATAGAATTAAATAACCTTATGTATTCGTTAAGTAACATATCAGTACCAGCCGACTTGTCACGAGACAAAGCCCTCATTACATCTGTTAATTCCTCAATGCTAAAATCCACATCTAACTTCCGCTTTGAAAAATTACGGTAATTTTTTTTAGGATTATTCCTCTTTAACAGATCCAGCATGTTCCCTTCCATTCTCAAATAGGCTCGCTTCAACTTCCTCTCACATACTTTATACTGTTTTTTGGCTTGCGCAAGGCTTACTCTGTTTGTCAATGACCGGTCTACATTAAAACTCAATAACGCACTTTTATATCTACTATACAACAATCTACAAGTATTATCGAACCAAGGTTTATCTGGCCCTTTCTTATCTAACTTTCCAGTATGGCAAAAACATGAACAGTTGTGTCATAAATGTGATTGGTTGCATTGCACGTGTAGTTGTGAGTGTAAGAGAACGTGCTATTTTTTTTGTATATGTAAAATACACTTATGAGAAACACTTAAGAAAAATATATAAAAAAGCCGCTCTAAAAGAATGATTAGAGACTGCTAATTAGAAAGCAATAATAACTAGCGATAAAACGTGCCATTTCTCTTGTCTAGAAAGACTGCAGCTTGTGACTGTGTAAAGCTTACGGCTTATCAGTAGAGTACATATATACAGTGCGTATGCTACATGTACAACACCCGACCATAGGGCGCTATATCAAAGGCTGTATATTAATATAATCAAATTTTATCGTTATTGTGGAGAGAAATTCCTTTCAGCTTAAACAGTATTTGATTTTGGCACAGACATTTTGCTCAATCAGTAAATTAGTAATAAATAAAAGTTCGTCATGTTGGAATAAAACACACATATACATACACAACCCGTACAGTTACCACCCCAATACACAGCCTTTCATTGACATTGCTGCAAACAAAAACAATAACCACAGTACTTATAACCACTGACTCAACAATTCGAAATTATCAATTTATCAAACGCGAATTTGACCAGGAAAACATGGAGACCGTGAACCGTACTGCCGGCATATACATATATGACGCGTGACACGCCACACAGGTAGTGAAGTTGTATATCCTATTGTATCGCTCAAAGGGGATCCGATATTTTAGACATAGTACGTGGTTTGGGAGTTTCTGAAGTGATATAATCTCAGAGTTAAGACCAACACCCGACTCTGGTGGTAATTGATGAAACGCAAAATAGTTTCACAGTGATTCATATTTTATATTATTATTTTTTTAACATGGTCCGCTTGCGCGCACCATTCAATATGTAGATAAGCCAATGTATTTTACTCACCAATGCCTGTAAAAAATATGACAACCAATCCTTAAATGGTACACAGACTGATATCATCTATCCAACAAAAAGTGTGACACTCCCGCGGTAAAACATGTTATTTGCGAAAGTTACAACATTTTGCCGTCGGCGTATTTACGTACTTACCAATATTATAATCTATTAATATTCACGAAATCTTGAAATATGAAATTTGTTTTAATGACTATTGTCTGATATCAGAGTAAACTTTATTTTGTTAAAAATGGATTCTCTTATTCATCGACCTGAACACAGAATGAGATGTAAATCCATGATTGTAATTTATATTGTACCATTGTAACCTCTTCGTACGGAAATTAAAATGATATTAAAACCAACACGTTCAGTGTGAAACCCTAGATGTTGTGTTATCTGGCGTG